GCGCACCAGCTTCTGGAGTGCTGGCTATGTGCTATTGCGCCAGCCTGGTGTTTGCTTTTTTTTTTTTTAAAGAGTATTTTATTGCTAGGCGTGGTGCATGCCATCTTAGCACTTGGGAGGCAGGCAGATCTCTGTGAGTTCAGGGCCAGCCTGGTCTACATAGTGAGTTGCAGGCCAACTGGGGCTACAGGGAGACCCTGTCTCAAAAAGACCAAGAAAAAAAAAAAACAAAACCACCACCAACAAAAAAATTATTTATTTGATCTGTTTAGGAAGGCACCGTGGAACAAGGAAAAAGGTTTCAATGCGTTTGGGGAGTGCTTATTTATAGTGCAGGTCCTTGCCCACCGGCCCATCCGAATTAGTGGTCTGTATTTGATTAGATTTGCAGCACCTAACCATGTGTTGTTGGCTGCAATCTCCACGTCTATCTTTTCAAGATCTTTAATCTATTCATTAAGTATAATATGACCACTCATGCCTATCCACTAGGCTTCATTGTTTGTTTGTTTTATGAGACTATAGCCTTAGCTGGTCTGGAATCTGCTATGTAGACCAGGCTGGCCTCGATCTCATAGAGATCTGTCTGCCTCCACCTCGGAGTTGTGGGATTAAAGGTGCATGATACAATGCCTGGTTCCATCAGGCTTTCTAACCTTTGACCCAGATTTTGAAATGTCTCATCTGATATGTATCCTAGCTGCTTAGCATTCTTTACAGAAGATAAGCAAGCCACAGCCAGTATCTTCCCTCAGCCTGACAGAGAGAAGCCATGCTGGATGGTAGATCTAGATTCCCCTTAAGTGTGTCAGGAGACAGCAGGGCCCCTTACAAAGTCTAAACCCAAAGAGTGAGTGTGTAAGCAAGGATGCCGGCCTGCTATTTCATAACACAAATTATGTTTCTTCCCAAACTAAACTTTAAGCATTCACTGAGTTTTTGAATATTTGACAATTTCATACATCTATACAAAGTATCTTGATCATATCCAACCCAAATCCCTCCTTCAAATCTCCTCTAAGTCTTCCTCCTCTAACTCCTCCCTCCTCTTCCTCCTCCTCCTTCCTCATAACCCACTGAGTCCAAATACTGCTTCCTGCTTGTGCATGGCCATGGGCCTATCCACTGGGAGAAAAATGACTCTGCTTCCCCCCAGCAGCCATCAATTGATAAGAGCTCCTCAGCTAAGGGTGGAGATGAGCCCTCCCCCAGCCATGCAGGAATGCTGACTGGCTTGATCTTGTGCAGATCTCAGATAGGAGGCACAACTACTGTGATGAGTGCAATAGCCAGGTCAAGTCCAGAAGAAGGCATTTCGCAGCACTGCTCCTTATCCTCCAGATTCTTTCCACCTGCCTCTCCCACCATATCCCCTGACCTTGGTGAGGGGTGCTGATATAAATGTCTCATTTAGGGCTGAGCACTCCACAGTCATTTATTCTTAGCACTTCGACCAGTTATAAATCTCTCCACTGATTGCTGCCTATTGCAAAAAAGAAGCTTCTCTGACCAAGGCTGAGAGCAACACTAATCTATGAATATAAACAAATATATTTAGAAGGCAGTTTGACACCATGTACATTTAGCAAAACAACCCCACCCCAGGGTCTGTGACTCCTCAGTCATGGACTTTTGAACAGGATCTCTCCTTGGTCTGGAGCTCACCAATTGGTTCGACTGGTTGGCCAGTGAAACTTAGTGGTCATCCTGGCTCCGCCTCCGCAGCACTGAGATTCCAAACTCATGCCACCACACCCAACATTTTATGTGGATTTTGGGGATCAAATTCCTCATGCTTGTATAGTAAGCATTTTACTCACTGAGCTATCTCCACAACTGTCTTGGTTTGTTCTTCATTGCTGTGACAAAACACTCTGACCACCACCAACTTGGGGAGGAAAGGGTTTATTTATCTTACATCTCCCAGGTCACAGTTCATCAGAGAGCCCAAGGTAGGAACTCAGGGCAAGATTCTGGAGGCAGGAGCTGGAGCACAGGCCATGGAGGAACGCTGCTTACTGGCTTGCTCCTCTGGCCCCTACTCAGCCTGCTTTTTTACACAACACAGGCCCACTGCCCAGGGGTGGCACCACCCACAGTGGGCTGGTCCCTCCCACATCACTCATCAAGAAGATGCCCCTCAGACATGGCCACAGGCCAGACCAACAGAGGCAATTCCCCAGTTGAGGCTCCCTCAACCCAAGTGTGTCAAGTTGACACTAAAGCTATCCAGCACACCAGCCCTCCCTCTACATAAACCAAATTCTCTGTGTCTTTGTCTCTGTATCTCTCTGCCTCTGTCTGTCTCTGTCTCTGTCTCTCTGTCTCTCTGTCTCTCTGTCTCTGTCTCTGTCTCTGTCTCTCTGTCTCTCTCTCTCTTTCTCTCTCTCTCTCTCTCACACACACACACACACACACACACACTTTGGCATCAAAACCAAAAAGTCTTGAACATTTCCTCTCTTAACTGAGAACTTCTAAGACTATTTATCTTGCAAACAAGGAGATTGAGGTCTGAGAGATTATGGGACTTGTTCAAAGTCATGCCACAAGTGGCATGGGAGGGTTATTGGAAGTATTTATATGAATTCTGTAGCCCTGTTGCTGACACTAATTTTGGTCTTTCTGCAGAGAACAGAAAAAACGCAAGTGTAAGGGAACAGGAAAAAGAAATCAAAGAAGTCAAAAGAGACAACAAAATATAAACTCAAAGCTGGAGCTTCCGTCACAAACTGAACAGGAAACAACAGAGAAAAAGTTTGCACCTGCTGAGAAAGAAACAGGGCATCCTGTGACAGAAGCACTGGTGTTAGTCTCCCCCCTAAAAGCTGTGCCTGCAGAACATTGTTCTGAAATACACCAATGCCAGGAAAATTCTTCCAAGTACCAGGAAACAGCAATACAAAATCATTCTTCTCAAACACACCAAAATATGGCCAAAGCTGAAGAAGACCTTTTTCCTAACATGTGCCAAGAAACTGCTGTGCCCCAAGAGCATTCTTCTAAGGTACACCAAGATATGGATGAATCTGAAATCCTCTATCCTAACATGTACCAGGAAACAGCTGTGCCTCAAGAACATTCTTCCAAAGTATACCAAGATATGACTGAGCACTCTCCTAACATATGCCAAGAAACTGCCATGCCTCAAAACTATTCTTCCAAAGCATACCAAATTATGGCTGAACCTGAAATTTTCTTTCCTAAAACATGCCAAGAAATAGGTGTACTTCAAGACCATCCTTTGAAAATGTGTCAAAATGTAGCCGATCCTGAGGTCCTCGCTCCTAAAACATGCCAAGAGACAGTAGCTCCCAAAACACTTCCCTATACAACACCTGGAGATGCAGCTGGCCCAGGATGCTCTCCTGAAACATCTCCCAGATCAGATGTGCCTGAAGGCTGTCCTCTCGACACAAGCCCCAAACTAACTGGACCAGAGAAATTCACCTCTACACTAGAACAGGGAACAGACATAACTGAAGACTTCTTGCCCCAAACACAAATATCTTTGTCTGAAGCTGTTTTTACAAAAACACACAAAGAAGCCATTGAACCTAAATACTCTTCTTATGAAACCTATAAAGAAATCACTGTGCCTTCTGATAAAACAATTCAAGAAACACCTGGGCCTGAAGGAAAGTTTCCTGAAACATGTCAACAAACACCTGGGCCTGAGAAGTATGCTCCTGAAACCTACCAGGAAACACCTGGGCCTGAACAGTATTCCCCTGAAATGTACCAAGAGGCACCCGGGGAGGCACCCGGACCTGAGAACAAGTCACCTGACACCTATCAAGAAATGCCTGGGCCAGAAGACCTCTCTATCAAAACCTGTAAGCACAGGGATGGGCCTAAATATGGCTTTCCAGAACCAACCCAAGAAGCAAGTGTGCCCCAAGGTCAGGACCCTGATGTACCCCAGGAAGATGTTGAGGACTCCTGTGCTATCTCTCAAGCCAGTGATGACATAGGTATATCTCCCTTAGAATTTATTATTTATAGTTGTCTTTGACAAGAGCCAATTATCTCAATGGTACTATGAATACCATTTGATGTTTCCTTTTTCTTTTTCAGCTGTGTAGACCAGGCTGGCCTTTAACTCACAGAGATCCACCTGCCTCTGCCTCCTGAGTGCTCGGATTAAAGGCATTCACCACCATGCCCAGCTTGCAGCTTGCCAAAGAATTCTTTTGAGCTGGACCTCACTATGTAGCCCAGGCTTGCCTCGAACTCACGATGAGCTTCCTGCCTCAAACTCTTGAGTGTGCAATTGGCTGTGCGATTTCTTTTTTCAAGGAAAATCAAGTCTAGTTAACAAGAAAGCTTGTTGAATGAAGTTTTTCTGGGAAATTTCATTTCTTGATAAATTATTATTATTATTATTATTATTATTATTATTATTTGGTTTTTTTGAGACAGGGTCTCCCTATAGCCCAAGCTAGCCTGGATTCGCTATGGAGACCAGGCTGGCCTCGAACTCACAGAGATCCACCTGCCTCTGCCTCCCGAGTGCTGGGATTAAAGGCATGCACCACCATGCCCGGCCATTTCCTCATAAATTAATGTCAAGTCAATTAATAGTACCAAGAACTGAGAGAGATATAAAACACTCTCAACTTATATCCCCAGTCAAAAAAGCTCTATTTTGATAATAGTTTCTCAAAGCTTTCCCCGGGGATAGTATTCTGAAATAATATCTAATTTGACTTGCTCTAGGAACAGAGATCCTTGATTCTCTGGTATAATTCTACAAGCATTTAAGAAATGGGCTGAATCTGACAGACTATAGTTATCCTTGGGAAATTGTTCTCTTGAGAAATCCTGTTTGCCTGGGTTTGGTAGAGCACACCTGTAATCCCAGCACCTGGGAGGTGGAGGCAGTGGGCTCAGTAGCTCAAGGCTAGGCTTGGCTTCAAGGTAAACTTGGGGCCAGCCTGGGCTCCATAAAGCCTTGAATCAAAACAAAACAAAGCAGGGCCTGGCAAGATGATTCTGCAGGTAAAAAAGTATTTGTTCTTCAAGCCTGGTGACCTGAGGTCATTCCCCGGAACCTGTATAAAGTTGGAAGGCGAGAACCAACTCCAGAGAGTTTTCCTATGATCTGCACACACACGTGTGACATGGCACATCTGCTCATTCATATACATCATACACACAACAATAAAACAAACAAAAACCCTTTACTAGCTTATTTACTTTCTGCTAAAAGCTGACTACGACAAAAACATGGTGTTAGCGAGCTTTGCATAATGTATGGTTGAGAACCTATGACTTAAAAGAAATGAGGCACACGCCTTTAATCCCAGCATTCAAAGGCAGAGGTAGGCAGACCTCTGTGAGCTCGAGGCCAGCCTGGTCTACATAGTGAGTTCCAGGCCAGCTGGGTTACACTGGGACCCTGTCTAAAAAAAAAAAAAACAAACAAAACAGAAGAGATAGAAATAAAATATATTTAGAAATCAGTCATATGAAGGTCTTCTGCAATGATGGGGGTACCCTAATGGGCAGGCAGCTCTCCTTAATTGACATGGTGTCTCAATTCTAACCGTTTATCCTCAATCCAGTGAGGTCAAAATAAGCAAACAACTAATGCTCATTTTATTTGTAGTTTTGCATTACCAAACAAATAGGAATATCCACATTTTGCTGATTATGAAAGAAGAGCTTCTTATAAATTAAAACAAAAATGTAAGAGAATATAGAGCAAAAGTTTTCCATGATGTTATCTCCTATTTCCAATCCTCAATAATAAGTTTCTTTGATCTCAACAAATGAAATAATACAATAATTTTTTTGTAACTTTAAAAAAATTTATTATTTTTATTTTATGTGTATGCGTGTATTGCCTGCATGTAGGTAAGTGCACCTGTGTTGTGCAATGCCTGCGGAAGACAGAAGAGACTGTCAGATCCCCTGGAACTGGAGTTATGGACAGTTGTTAGGTGTGGGTGCTGGGATTCGAACCCGGGTCTTCTGCAAGAACAGTCAGTATTCTTAACTCCTGAGCCATCTCTCCAGCCCCATAGCTTTTCATATTTATTTATTTTTGTTTTGTTGATCTCACTATGTTGTCCTGGCTGGCCTGAAACTTGCTATGTAGACCAGTCTGGCTTTGAACTCATAGAGATCTACCTACGGAGTGCTGGTATTAAAAGGTATGTGCCACCACACTCAGCCTACTTTTTGAAATTATAAAAAAAAAATTACATTATAGCCGGGTATATACACACCTTCAGTCCCAGCAGTTGGGAGGCAGAGGCAGGCAGATCCCTGTGAGTTTAAGGCTAGCCTGGTCTACATAGTACGTTCCAGACCAGCTAGGGCTACAGGGAGACCCTGTCTCAAAAAAAGACCAAAAAAATAAAAATTACATTATATATTGTAGCCACATTTATAGGATCTTTTTTTCTTCTCATGTGTATGTGTATAGTGTATGTGTATGAGTGTGTGTGTGTGTGTGTGTGTGTGTGTGTGCGCGCGCGCGCGCGCACACGTGCATCTGAGGTTAATGTTAGGAATCTTCACTTATTCTCCACATTATCCTTTTTTGAGGCCGGGTCTTAAACTCAGAGATCACTGATATGGCTAGCCTTGCTAGCTTGCTCTGGGGATCCCCCATCTCTGACTTCCAAGACTGAACTTAGAGGTGGGCTGCTGCACTCACTCACCATTTACTGGGTTCCGGGAATCCACCTCTGCTCCATCTGCTTGTATAGCAAGTGCTTTAACCACTGGGCCACCATCCTAGCCCTATAACATCTTTTCTTTTTTCAAAAAAAATACTTTATTATTTTATGTGTATAAATGTATTGCCTGTTTGTATGTAAGTGTACCTGTGTCGTGTAATTCCTACAGAGGTCTGAAGAGAGAGTCAGATTCCCCTGCAACTGGAGTTAGGGATGGTTGTTAAGCTGCCATGTAGGTACTGGGAATCGAACCTGGGCCCTCTGCAAGAGCAGCCAGCACTCTTAACCACTGAGCCATCTCCCCAGCCCCTATAATATCTTTTCTAATAATTATGTAGTAGTTATATGTGTGTACAATGACTTACACACAGGGAGACCGATGTGGAGGCATTAAAAGCTGAGATTCCTGATTGTTTCCATTGATCAGCCCCTAGAAGTCAAATTGCTGGGCCCACAGCACCCACATTTAAAGTCTGGATACACCATCAGACATACATACTGGCCTTCAGAAATGCTGAAGCTGTTCATACAAACTTAATCTTTCTTTCTTCCCTCCCTCCTTCCCTTCCTTCCTTCCTTCCTTTCTTGTCTTTTTGAGACAGGGTCTCCCTGTAGCCCCAGCTGTCCTGGAACTCACTATGTAGACCAGGCTGGTCTTGAACTCACAGAGATCCACCTGCCCCTGGCTCCTGAGTGCTGGGATTAAAGGCGTGCGTCACCATGCCTGGCCTTATTTTTATTTTTTTAATTTTGTGTATGAGTGTATTGCCTGTATGTATGTGAGTGCACCTGTGTCGTGCAATACTTTGGAGGTTAGAAGAGGGCTTCAGATTCCCCTGGAATTGGAGTTAAGGATGGTTTGTAGCTGCCATGTAGGTGCTGGGAATCGAACCTGGGTCCTCTGCAAGAGCAGTCAGTGCTCTTAACTGCTGAGCCATCTCTCCAGCCCAGTAAATATATTTTTTTATATAGCTGCTTGTGGTTTCATTTTGCACATAGTAGTTTTTGCCATTTGAAATTTTATTTATTTTTTTATCTTTTGTTTTGAGAGAAGGTCTCCCTGTAGCTCCAGCTAGCCTGGAATGTTATGTACACCAGGCTGGCCTTGATCTTACAGGGATCCACTTCTGCCTCCTGAGTTCAGGGATTAAAGGTGTGTACCACCATGCTTGGTGGCCATATGAAATATTAATCTTTAGGTATTCTAGTTGGTCAGTTTTTCCTGTATGGTTTCTGGTTTCAGTGTTTTGCTTAGGACCCTAAGATTATAAAAATACCATTTTTCTATGATGTGGTTAATCCAGCTCAAATGTGTGTGCATGTTTTGTGGTATGTCTCTCCCAGGTGAGTTATTAAATATCTCAATACTATTCATTGAATCTATTTTTTTTTTGTATTTTATTTGGTTTTACAGAAATGGAAGAAAAAGCCAAAGCTGATCAAGGTCCAGAAATAGCAGTGAATCCATAAGGTCTTCAAGAGATCTGTCCAGAAAATGACAGCTACAGTTATGCTTTGTTTTAACATTACTCAACATTAAGGGTGTGGTCTAAAGGCATATACATCTTCTTTTGTGTGTATGATTTTCCCAATACATTATAAGAAAAGCTATATTTTGCATTATTATTTGAACTTACTCATTTCCCATTTATAGACCATATCTGAAAGAGAGAACTAACATTTTTAAGGCTAATACAGACAATATTTTTCTAGTGTGGTGTGTGTGTGTGTGGAAGATGGTAGAAGGAAGGAGCAAGTAAGAGAAGGCGAAGGGATGAATAATCGAGTTTTCCTTCCAAGAACAAACATTTATTTGATCATTCTGGAGAGCTATAAGCAATTTAATCTGAACACTTAACATTTTGAGAGTATATAGTTTCTTGTAAAGTTTTATTCAATTGTTGATGTCATAATAACCCCATAACTTTATTCAACCCTTACATGACTCTCTAAGTTAATTTGAGCAATTCTTATTCTAGAACTCCTTGAAAGATGTTTGGGGATTGATAATATAGTTTACTTCTATGTGTGAACTTGGATTTTCTATTTCTACTTTTTAAATATTGTTATTTGTGAAAAATGTACATTAAATCATTTCTACATGCTTAACTGTGTGGACAGCATCTTGGTAAGTCCTGTGGGGGGTTAAACACCTAAATGACACATTTCCACCAGACTTTAGTCTAGTCTCATAGGGGAATAAAACAGAAAACAAAGCATTCCAAAGGAAAACAGCTGTAAGGGCAGCTTTCAGAGAAGCCCACAGCCATGCTACTGTGTGCATTTTACTTTCTCCCAGACTGCCTCTTTCTCTTAACCCTCATGCTGAAATCTAAACATTATTAACAACCTCTTCCCCTGAAGTAAATGATGTTAGTGCAATATGAGTAGCAGGTACCTTAGGAAGAATGTCCACCTGGTCCTGATGCAGAGGCTTCAAAGATGGGGAGGATCTGTATGGGGGAACAGCCGCAGTACTGCAGCAGACCCAGAGCACCGAGTTCAGGATCTATTCAAGAGAATGGCATGCAAACTGTGGTTAATGTTGGGTCCATATGGAATAGTTAAAAACCTTTCATTAGACAGCTAATCTGTTATTAGAGATAGTATAGAATTCCTTTCACCCAGTGAATACTAATATTACACCTGATATAACCAGGTTTATTTGTTAAAACTAAAATTGGTATCATTACATTATCATTAAACTACAGACATTATTTGGATTCCACTAGTTCCTTTTCATTTCTTTTTTTTCCATCTTTTTGAGACAGGGTCTCCCTGTAGCCCCAGCTGGCCTGGAACTCGCTATGTAGACCAGGCTGGCCTCAAACTCACAGAGATCTGCCTGCCTCTGCCTCCCAAGTGCTGGGATTAAAGGCGTGTGTCACCATGGCCCCTTAGAAAACTCTATGTAGCCAAGGTTGACCTTGAACTCCTGATTCTCTTCCCTCTCAGGAGTGCTGAGATTGCAGGACTGTGCCTCAGGCCAAGTGTTATTTGGTAATGGTGATTGAACACAGCAAACATTCTACCAACTGAGCTACATCCCACTTGTTTGTTTGAGAAGGCTTTTCATGGTCTGCACTGATTTTTCTACTGATATTCTTCTGTGTGTCAAGATCTAATTCAGAATTTGATGTAGCTGACCTAGGACTCACAATCTCTTGCCTCAGTCTCCTGAGTGCTAGGATTATAGGTATGTGCTCATTTTGGGTGTTTTTATTCTAAAGCCTCCAAATGATTCTAATCTACAGTCAGGGTTGAGAATCACTGGTCCTGTGGGAAGCTTCAGTGCTGGGTCCCCGCCATTTGCCATGCCCTTCTGCAGGTACATCACATTTTTCGCCAGACATATTCATTCCATAGTGATCATTCACACTCTACAATACTCAAGCAACATATTGAGAGCAGTGTAACCACAAAATACAGAGTCCTTCTGGATGGCACTTCAATATCCATATTCCACCTATGCTCTTTAATAGGGACAGATGTCTGTGAAACAGAGTGGGCAGTGACTACCACGCCTATATTTTTTTAAATGAATGAATAACCTGAGAGGCTGGATATTCACCCCAAGTCACATGTGATAGTTCCAGTACCTTTCAGGAAGACACCCCAGCTTTGGAATGCTTCTGTCTAGATTTTACCTGCTAGAGTGGATCAAGAGGACAGAGAGTCACCTGAAATCTTAAGTTCTAATAATGTTTCACGGAGCTAGATTGTAAGAGATTTTCATGGGTGGGCTGAAGAGATGGCTCAGAGGTTAAGAGCATTGGCTGCTCTTGCAGAAGATCTAGGTTCAAATCCCAGCACCCACATGGCAGCTAACAACTCCATAACTCCAGTTCCAGGGGATCCAATGCCCTCGTCTGTCCTCCGTGGGCACTGCATGACATGGGTACACTTACATGAAGAAAATACATTCATACACATAAAAATATAATAAAATTTTAAAGAGATTTAGGTCAGGGGTGGTGGCACACACCTTTAAACCCAGCACTTGGGAGGCAGAGGCAGGTGGATTTCTGTGAGTTTTGAGGCCAGCTGGGGCTAAAGGGAGACCCTGTTTCAAAAAGACTTTAGTCTGCAAACCTGTCTTTGGTTGAGTTATATGCAGTGAATGAACTGTCAGAGAGAGAGAGAGAGAGAGAGAGAGAGAGAGAGAGAGAGAGAGAGAGAATGAATTACATGGTATTATGTACAAGGGGCAAGATGGTGAAAAAGATGGAGTAAATGACAAGAGGGGTGTAGCCTTAGAAGACGTATACCTCTTCTCTACCTTTGAAACTAGGGGCTGGAGAGATGGCTCAGGGATTAAGAGCGCTCACTGGTTGCTCTTGCACCAGGGTTTAGTTTCCAGCACCCACATGGAGGCTAACGACCATCTCTAACTCCAGTTCTAGGGAATCCGATGCCATCTCCTGGCCTTTGCAGGCACTGCATGTACTAGTTCACTTAGGTGCATACAGGCAAAATACTCATACACATACATTGTTTTAAAAATTACTGAATGGGGGGCTGGAGAGATGGTTCAGTGGTTAAGAACACTGACCTCTTGCAGAAGACCTGGGTTCGAATCCCAGCACCCACATGACAGCTAACAACTGTCCGTAACTCCAGTTCCAGGGGATCTGACAGCCTCATCTGTCCTCCACAGGCATTGTACGACACAGGTGCACTTACCTACATGCAGACAATACACGCATACACATAAAAATATTAAATAAAATATATTTTTAAAAAATATTGTATGTAGCCGGACATGGTGCCGCATGCCTTTAATCCTAGCACTTGGGAGGCAGAGGCAGGTGGATCTCTGTGAGTTCAAGGTCAGCCTGGTCTACATAGTGAGTTCCTGGCTAGCTGGGGCTACAGGGAGACCCTGTTTCAAAAAAAGATGAAAAAAAATTACTGTATGCATGTGTTTATGCATGGTAAATGTGTGCAGGTCAGAGTACATACAACTTGGTAGAGGCAGTTCTCTCTCTCCACCATATGGGTCCTGGCGACTGAAATTAGGTCTCCAGGCCCAGCAGCAAGTGCTCTTACCTATTGAACCATCTCTCCGGTTTCCTTTCCTTCATTTCTCTTTTTTCTTCTTTGAGATGGAGTCTCCCTGTAGTCCTAACTGGCCTGGAACTATGTAGACCAGGTTGGCCTCAAACCCACAGAGGTCCATCTGCCTCTGCCTCCTGAGTGCTGGGATCAAAGGTGTGTGCCACCATGTCCGAACTTTTTTTTTTTTTAATGTGTGTGGTGTGTGTACATGTATGTTCCCATGTGTCACCACATGTGTATAGAGACCAGGGGATGATGTTGGGTAGCTATCTGCCTTGATTTTTCTCCTTACATATTGAGGCTGGGTCTCTCACTTAAATCCAGAGTTCAATGACTGGGCTAGTCTAGAGGATCCCATTTCTGCCTCCTACAGGCTGCCACACCCACCAGACATTTATGTGGGTGTTTGTGATCCAAACTCCAATCCTCCTGCACTCTTGGCAAGTGCTTTACCCACTGAGCCATCTCCCAGCCCCTTAGCTTGTTTACTTCTACCACTCCTTTTTTTTTTAATTAAAAAAAATTTGAGGTGGGGGGTCTTTTTGAGACAGTGTCTCCCTGTATCGTCAGCTGGCCTGGAACTCACTATGTAGACCAGGCTGCCCTTGAACTCACAGAGATCTGCCTACCTCTGCCTCCCAAGTGCTAGCATTAAAGGTATGAGTCATCATTAAAGGCCCGGCCCACCACTCCTTGTATACACACAGGACAGGACTTTTTTGCTTTTACCAGACACCAATGTGAATCAAATCCTTCATTTTCTTCTTGGTTTAGAGACTTAAGGCCATAGAATTTCTGCAAGAATCCATCTAGCTCCAATTTTTGCTGCCCTCTTCTTGAATAGGTATAATGAAGATTTAAAAAAAATATTTTTATTATTTTTTACATTTTTTATTGTAATTTCATACAATGATTCTTTTTGGTCTTTTTGAAACAGGGTCTCCCTGCAACCCCAGCTGACCTGGAACTCACTATGTAGATCAGGGGGGGGTGGGGGGCTGGTGGTGGTGGCTGGAGTAATGGCTCAGAGGTTAAAAGCTTGTCTAGCTCTTCCAAAGGACCCGGATTCAGTTCCCAGAACATACCGTGTGGCTCATAACTGCTTGTAACTTCAGTTACAGGGGATCCATTGTCTTCCTCTGGCCTCTAAGGGCAACTGGACACACATGGCACACACACATACATACACATAAAAATAAATCTTAGCTGGCTCCATGGTAAGAGTATGTACAGTTCTTCCAGGGGACCACAGTTCCATTCCCAGCACTCATGTCCAGCAGCTAACAATTGCCTGTAACTCCAGCTAAGGAGTATTTGATGTCTCTAGTCTCTATAGGCACCCGCACACACACTCATACGTACACATAATTAAAAATAGTAAAAATAAGGCCGGGCAGGGTGGTACACACCTGTAGTCCCAGCACTTGGGAGACAGAGGCAGGCGGATCTCTGTGACTTTGAGGCCAGCCTGGTGTACATAGTGAGTTCCAGGCCAGCTGGGGCTACAGGGAGATCCTGTCTCAAAAAGACCAAATAAATAATAAATAAGTAAATATCTTTTAAAATGCATCACTCTACTGAGAAGGGCTTCTCAAAGTACTACAAGCTGATGGCCACCTGGAGCAGTCATTTAGGTGTTTTTTGTTTGTTTGTTTCTGCCTTTTTGAGACAGGATCTCCCTGCAACCCCAGCTAGCCTGGCTGGCCTGGAACTCACAGAGATCCCCCTGCCTCTAACTCCCGAGTGCTGGAACTAAAGGCATGCGCTAGCATGCCCGGCCGATTTTAGGTTTTGTATTTTATTATTTTTATTTTATGTGCATGCGTGTATTGCCCGCATGTAGGTAAGTGCACCTGTGTCCTGCAATGCCTGTGGAGGTCAGAAGAGCCTGTCGAATACCCTGGGACTGGAGTTACGTACAGTTGTTAGCGGCCATGTGGGTTCTGGGATTCGAACTCTGGTTTCTGCAAGAACAGTCAGTGTTCTTAACCGCTGAGCCATCTCTCCAGCCCCTCATTTAGGTTTTTTAAAGGCAGATTTTTGGGTCTAGTGTCTTCAAGTCTACTTTGAGTTTCGGCGGTTGTCACAGTTGGTGACACATTATATACTTTTGTCATATTATGTACTTTTGGCTTATCAAACGTCTATCCTCCCTTTCTGGAGGACATATTCCTCCCTCTTCACCAACGTGGCTATCACACTCAACCACACAGCGCCGACTAATGGCAAGCGCCGTTTATTCCATCCAGTCTTACAACATGTAGAAATGGTCCAGATTCTCATCAAACTTTTCTCCAGCTGGACAAAAACCAAGAACCATATCTCTTAAAATCAAAAAAGACAAGAAAAAAAGAGTAGCCTTTTCCAAATTCCAAACATGAGATCTGTTTTAGCTTTCTAAAAATCCACAATCTTCTCTTTAAAAAAAACCTGTCCCCCTAATACTAGTTGTCTCCTACTAGTGACTTCCTTATCGGTGACAATAAACAGACTTTGAAGCAAATTTTCGCAGTTTAGCTTTCTAATCTGTGGGTTCGTATATTTTAAAATAGTTTGTTATAGGTAATAGGCTGTGGGGTCTTGAACAAGGTTTTTGAATCTCAGAAACACAATTATGTACGCAGAGAAACAATATGGGTGAAAAGAGAGTTACAGGGTGGTTAAAAGAATGGACTGTTTAGCCGGGTGTGGTGGCGCACGCCATTAATCCCAGCACTCGGGAGGCAGAGGCAGGGGGAGCTCTATGAGATCGAGGTTAGTCATAGTGAGCTCCAGGACACCTGGAACAAAACAAAACAAAAAGAATGGACTATATGTGTAGGGACAACCGGTCGTCATACGGGATGAAAAAATGGTTGGTTGTTGGCGCTCAGCTTCCAGAGGTCCTCAAAAACGGTAACAAGTAATCCTGGTCTGCATGAGCTCACTTGTTTCAGCGAGGTGTGGAGCACAAAACCAAGTTCCCATTCATTAACCCCAGCTTAAATCTCTTAAGATCCATCACTCTAGAATTACTTGGGATTCTTCTTTTTGATAAATTGTTTTTATTACTGAAAAAGAGGAGCACACTGAGTATAATCTGCACTCCCACATCCACGGAGACTTTTGAACATTTACCCTCCAGTTCTAGGGCCAGAGAGACCTCAGCAGGTAAATCCATGATGCCCGAATATCTCCTGAAACCAGCTGAGATCAGAGTACGCCTCCAAGTTGTGCTTTTCCTTCCACATGCGCACGCGCGCACTCAAACGTAAAATAAATTAACTTTGTTCTTTTGCTATGTGATCACTGAGAACACGCACGTCCTTTTCCTTTAAAAACCAGGGTCACTGTTGGTCATGAGGCCGTTTATAATTCAGAACATCTTTGCGTGTACATCTTTGTCCGAATGCAGACCCTTCGGAAGGCGCACTGGAGGTGACCGCTGAGCAACCAACACGCACCCTCAGCCCCGCCACTATGGCGCGCACTGTTCCGACTCGCGCGGCTACTGCGCAAGCGCCGGTGCCTGAGGTGCGGAAGCGGAAGGGGAAGCGGATGCGTCACAGGGGCGCTTCAGCGAGCCGTAACTATGCACGGCGTTGGCGAACCGGAGCCTCGACCTACAGCGACCCCGAGCGGCTGCGCTAAGCCGGCCCTAGAGACAGGTAACTTCTGGGAAACCTGCCAGGCCGATGGCCGATGCCACCGCAGGGTGCGATGCGGTGTCAGACGTTCGTCATTGTCCCCCTTACAGCGCAAGCCAGAGTCACGTGTCCCGGTGGCCACGTGAGGCGTTGGAATGACGTCATCCACGTTAGGTTCTCGGTGCTAGGGCTGTGTTGTGGGTTTAGTGTCCAGAGGTAGCTGCTTTAGCTTCGTGCCTGATAGCGGCCTTTCTTGGGAGCTGCAGGGAGGTAGGGTGTGCAGTTCTTGGTGCCTTGCTGATTAGAACTAACATCACGTGAGAGGCATTCGGGAGAGGAGAGGGAGGAAGTGAAGGGCTGAGCGGGAACAGTTTTACACTGGTCTGATAAATAGGCATGCATTTGTGTCTGTCCCTATTCATAGGGGCCGACGACGTAGATTATAGAATCTAGAGGAAGCAGACTGAAGAAAATAAAAATGACCCACTACCACCCAGAGTGGAGATGGAGCCAGTTACCGTGGTGTCTACGTCCCATCCTAATTTCACTGCTTTATACACTAGGAAAGAAAGGTCACACGCAGCTTTTTTTTTTTTTTTTTTTTTTTTGGTCTTTTTGTAGCCCCAGCTGGCCTGGAGCTCGCTTAGTTGACCAGGCTGCCCTTGAACTCAAAGAGATCCTCTTGCCTCTGCCTCCGGAGTGCTCGGACTAAAGGTGTGTGCCATCACTCCGAGCCTTTTTTACTTTTAAAAATACAAATTTTGCGAAAAAATTCCATGACAGCTATAATTTTGAGGGGCTGTATGCTGTTTTGTTTTATAGTTATGTTTTAATATGCCAGTTCCCTATATTTGGGTATTAAGGGAATTTGTCTTTGTCAGTTTTCATTATTCTAAATGAAAGTTCTTCAGGTCTTTAAGCTATAATGTTGGACTTAAATTTCCTAGTAGTTACTATTACCCGATACACTCATTTAAAAGTAAGGTTATGGGGCTGGAGAGATAGCTCAGAGGTTAAGAACACTGACTTATTGCAGAAGACCTGGGTTCAAATCCCAGCACCCGCATGGCAGCTAACTGTCCATAACTCCAGTCCCCGGGGATCTGCTGCTCTCTTCTGACCTCTTCGGGCGTTGCACAACAGAGGTGCAGTTACACACATGCAGGTATAATACTCATACACATAAAATAAAAATAATAAAAGAAATAAGGTTGCATACTGACAGAATACATATATAATCGTCCAAAAGGTAGGAACAAGTGGCCACGAAGGCTCAGATTACAGAGCTTGGTTTGGGGAGTTATAAATTTTACATGTTGGATGGAAATGGGGCTGCTCATATGGGGGAGAACTTTGTCAGCAGTGAGCAACAAGAAGTTTTAAAAGAAGCATAACTGAAGGAATTCTAAGTGTGAAGAAATGGTCTGTGTTTAGGCTCAGTGTGATAAGGATGATTTAACAATCTGGACAGAGAGTAAAAGAACCTGAACTTTCCTTCAGAAGCAGACCTGTGGATAAGCTTAGTATGTAGAAAACTGCATTAATGGGGCTGGAGAGATGGCTCAGCAGTTATGAGCACTGACTGGCTGCTCTTGCAGAGGACCTGGGTTCAGTTTCCAGTAACCACGTGGCGGCTAGTAGCCATCCATAACTCCAATTCCAGGGGATCTGATGCCCTCTGCTGGCCTTTGCAGGTATTGCGTGTATGTGCTGCATGCAGGAACACTAATTCACATAAAATAAAAATATAATTAAAAATATTAAAAACAAGATGAAACAAAAATAATAATGAAAAAAACAGTACCTGTAAACATACTTGGAAAAAACTTGAAAATAGAAGCATATACAATATGGATGGTGGATGGATATGAAAAGCAAATCTAGGGGCTGGAGAGATGGTTCAGCGGTTAAGAACACTGTTCTTGCAGAAGATCTGGGTTCGAATTCCAGCACCCAGATGGCAGCTAACTCCAGTTCTAGGGGATCCGACAGCCTCTTCTGACCTCCACTGGCATTGTACAACATGGGTGCACTTACCTACATGCAAGCAATACACACATACACATAAAAATAGTAAATAAAATATTTTAAAAGAAAAGCAAATCTAAGACGGTAGCTTACAATGTGATGTCAGTTATTTGTTTTTTTTGTTTTGTTTTTTTTGGTCTTTTTGAGACAGGGTCTCCCTGTAGCCCCAGCTGTCCTGGAACTCACTATGTAGACTAGGCTGGGCTTGAACTCACAGAGATCTGCCTGCCTCTGCCTCCTGAGTGCTGGGATTAAAGGCATGCACCACCAGGCCTGGCCTGATGTCAGTTTTTTTTTTTTTTTTTTGGTCTTTTTGAGACATGGTCTCCCTATAGCCCCAGCTGACCTGGAACTCTCTATGTAGACCAGGCTGGCCTTGAACTCACAGAGATCTGCCTGCCTCTGACTTCCGAGTGCTGGAACTAAAGGTGTGCGCCACCATGCCCGGCTTCTGATGTCAGTTTTTATAGAACTAAAAGAAGATGAAATTTTGTCTATGTATACATGTACATGTTTTAAAATCATATTTTAAAGGAATTAAGTGAAGATAAACACCAGATTCAGGCTCCTGTTTATCTTGGGGGAAGGGAGAGTTGGGGCTAAAAGCAGTCTACAAAGATGCAAAGTGTTAGTGGCATATATTTTTTGGGTGGCTGGTGAGTATATTATGCTTTAATTTACATATGTATTGCATAAAATCTTTTATATGTATCAAATAATAGAGTTCTTACAAGTAAAAATGAGAAGTCCTGTCCAGATGTGGTGCAAGCCTTTAATCCCAGCACTTGAGAGGCAGAGGCAGGCAGATCTCAGTGAGTTTGAGGCCAGCCTGGTCTATATAGCAAGTTCCAGGCCAGCTGGGGCTACAGGGAGACCACTCCCCCCATCTCAAAAAGACCAAAAAAAAAAAAAAAAACCAGAAAAAGAGAAGTCTTTTGAGGGACAGGCCTAGATCTATAGCTTCACTGCTTGTACCAGTAGGATGGGCTTCATGGAAACTGAAATTAAATGGCGATCTGGAGTATTTCTTCAAAGAACATAAGGTGCTCAGCTATAAAAAATGAGCTGGGATTGGTGGTGCACACCTATAATCCTGGCAGTTGGGAGACTGATACAAGAGGTTTATGAGTTTGAGGCCAGCTTGGGCTACATAACAAGACTTTATCAAAAAAAAAAAAAAGTTGTGTGGCACCTAGTAGATGTAGAGCTGTGAAGTCAGCACACTAGAGAAAAACATTTTCTTACATCTTTGACCTTTTGAGTACTGATTTCTTACTCAGTTTTCTTCCATAGGGAATCTTTTAACTGAACCAATAGGCTACTTAGAATCCTGTTTCTCGGCCAAGAATGGTACTCCACGACAGCCATCCATTTGTAGCCATTCGAGAGCCTGTTTGAGGATTAGAAAGAGCATCTTTAATAATCCTGAACATTCCTTGATGGGCCTAGAACAGTTTTCTCACATTTGGTAAGTTGTATAGTTAAAAGTGGTACCTTGGGCCTTGGGTAAAGAACTCTGGTGAAGGAAACTTTGGTGTCTGCCATCAGTATCACCCTTATTTGTTATATGACATTCCTATACTGAATTTGTGCATGTGATTGTTTGCATAATTTGAACATCCTTAGGAAGCATGGGATTCACTAAGGGAATATGTTTTAATTACAGTTGGCTCTATTTATTATGGTTCCCTTCTGTTGAGCTGAAACTGTAGACCACCTTGCTTCTGCCCATGGGTCATTATGCTGGTCTGTAGAATAAGAATCAGCAAGCTGTAGACTGTGGATTGATTATGGCCCACTGCCTATTTTTGTACATAGTCTCATGGGACCATAACTGTGCCAGATGTTGGAACATGGTCTGAAACTTGTCTGTAGCATGCCTGTCGATTTATGTGTTTTGTGTGACTACTGTTGTAAAACTCTGCTCCAGTAGCACAATAGTTGAACAGTGACTTATTGGCCTCAAATCCTAAAATACTTACTATCTGACCTTTTCTTTCAGTGCTGGGATTTGAACCTAGGGCCTCATGCATGGTAGGCAAGTGCTCTACCACTCAGCGATGTCCCCAGTCCTATAGCTGACCTTTTACAGAAAAGTTTGTGAGCCCTGGTATAGACCCTTGAATTAAGTCTTCCTAAAAGACAAAAGACTTTAGAAAGGAAAGCTGGGTACTACTTGATTCTCCTTATTGAGTCTCCCTATTCTGTCTCTATGTGTAGCACACATCTCTTACCTGAATTTAATGATCTTATAAACTCAAATGTTACTGTTTTTCTTCATGGTTTCTGGGTTTCATAGCTCGTTTAGAAAGGCCTCATCAGGTTTAACTTCTGAGCTCAGTTTCTTCTTCTTCTTTTTTTT